AGTGGGGCTGTAGGAGAGGTGCCCCTGCTCATGACACCCCATCCATCAGTGCTGTGGACGGCACCAAGGGACTCATTTCTATCCCTGGTGTGACGAGGCAGCGGTTGATACGTGTCATAGAATCACAGAATAGTTGCAGTTGGGAGGGACGTTTAAAGGTCATCTCATCCAACCCCCCCTGCAGGGATGTCTTCAAATAGACCAGGTTGCTCAAAGCTCCATCCAGCCAGAGCTTGAATATTTCCAGGGATGTGGCATCCTCCACCTCTCTGAGCAACCTGTACCAGTGTCTCACACCCTGTTTCTTCTCTATATCTGGTCTCACAGCCCATGCAGGCATCAAAATGTGGGTCCAGCATAGTCACATGTGGGGTGGCTTTTGTGGACTTACCTGCTGGGTCAGGGACAGAGTGAGGGGCTGGATTTCAAAGGCCTGATGTCCTTCATCTGCTCTGGTTTTGCTTTAGACTGGAGAAACCTTACTGGAAGGGATCCTGTCAGCCAGGTTTCTGAGGAACAGTGCAATTCTTTTAACTCATTGTAGGGTCATTTTGGTGCTGATGGTGACTGCTGTCTGCCTGGGAGCTGAGCAGCCTGTATCTCCTTGAAGGTGGTAAATATGGCTGGTATTTAGGACATCTGAGAATCGTGCCTTTCCTATGGAGGTATCGGCATAAATAGGTTTATTTAGATTACTTAAATAAATATGTGTTTAGGAGCCTGAGTCTAGGTGCTCAGATCCAAGGCCAAACGTAATTACATTTAACTGCGTTCTTCGAAAAAGCCTTTTACTGCATGTGTGAGGCTTGCACATCCACACTTCAAGCCCTACATTTGGAAAGAGGCAAGATGATGTATTTGCATCATATGTGAGTGATGAAATTACTTTCCACCTGTTAGTAACCAAGAGGATATTAAACAACATCTCTTAGCAGTGCACACTTGCGTATTAACAGGTCTGGGTAATACGTGCCCGAGAGTCTCAGGACAATTGGCTTTTGCTTATAAAATGAATTCCCAGTAATTCTCTTTGCTGGAGAATTTGCAGGAAAACAGAGGAATTGCTGATTTTGTGCTGTTTTTCTGAAAGACCTTGATTTGGGTAAATGAGATCCAGGTAAATTGACACGCGCTGAAGGGAAATAGCGGCACTCGTCACTAAAAAGCTGGTCAAGTCAGATGCGTGCATATGGCTGAACACTTACTTACAGACCAGAGGGACGTGGGTTGTGTGATCCTCCAGGACCCTGGTGTGTGTTTGGTGACCACAGGATGCTCACTGAATGCAGGACCGGAGCTTTGCAAACCAGGAGATCTGGAGAAGGTCCCAGGCCAACAGCACATCCCGGTGCCCGCTGCAGTGCAGTGCCCCAGTGACAGGGGTGACCTCAGGAGAGCAGGAGCGTGTGTCCTGCATTGGCATTGCCTGCTCCATTGGATGGTCGGTTCTGCAGCAGGATGCCAGCCTGCTGGAGGGAGGCCTGATGTGGGGCTGGGCAAACACCTCCCAGTGGGAACTTAAAAGTGCAAACCATTTAGCTTATCTAGAGGATTGACAGGTGACTTGATTGCAGTGTGTAAATATCTTTGCAGGAAACATGCTGGTTACTAACGGACCTTTTACTGCTTAGGAGAAAATCACTGCTTCTTTTTATGTCCTTACAATGAAGTCAGATAAAATCCACTTAGAACCAAGATTCTTGTTTTGTAAAGGTGATAAATGCCTGAAACAACCGACCAAGGAAAGGGGTGGCTTTTCAAACCACAGGAGCCCTCATGGGAAGTATACCTGAACAAACACAGGGCACCTGGCCTCGAACGGTGGGGGCTGTCTTAGTCCAGGTGATTCAGCAGTTTCTTTTGGCTTTAAACTGTCTGAAACTGTTGGTTTCAAGATAGCAAAGGAAATTTTGTCCTTGGTTTGAGTGGTGACAGGTCCTCAAGGAGAAGATGATGTAGAGTTCGGGAGGTGACAGGGATGGTTGAAATCACCCATCCCCAGGATGAAGGACCCATTAGGATGAACAACAGTGCACATCACATGGACCCACGGGTGTCTCACACATCCCAGGCGAGTCTTGCTAGGTTCCTGCTTGAGAGGGATTTGTTTCCGTGCTAAGTCATCTGTGGTTGAAAAACAGATCCATTGTGAGTCGATGGAAAATAGATTATGTGGAATTGAATAAACATCATTTCTTGGCACAGGTGCAGATGAGCCTGCACCGCTCTGCCAGCGATGCTGCCAGAGGGGACAAGACAAGGCATGCTTGGTGGCAGGGGGAGAGGGTCGTGTTTGCTTGTCACCTGTAATCTGTGCAGGCCGTGGTCCCTCCCCAGCAGCACCAGGGGTTTGCCAAGGGTGGCCACCGGTGTGGTTGGAAAATGTCCATGGGGGAGGCCAAGCGCTGCCCCGCTCACACTTGCCTCTGTGCTGTGGCACCTGGCTGTGGAGATCTGGCCTTATATGGGCCCTGAGTGAAACAGCGAGAAGGGATGGGTGCCAAAACTGGAGCGATAACATCTGAGAGAAGAACGCTCCCCCTTCAGGCCCAGGGAGGAAGGAGATGGGCTTCCTTGACCTTGCTTTTGTTCGGGTGTTTAACTCCAAAGTCACTGTCACCATGGAGCAGCGCAGCAGCGAGGGATGCTCAGCACCCTGATGGGATGTGACTAAGAGTCTGGGGGGCTGATTAGCAACAACTTGTGTCTAGGCTGCTGCAGCTCATGGTCCTGATCCAAGTGAATAGGACATGTCCATAAAGAGCAGTATGGCTTGATTCCTACTGAAACAAATCCCCTCTACAGGAGGTGACGGGCTGCAGCAGCCGGAGGGAGCTGCAGTCTGAGCTCTGCTTGCTGGAGGGGATGCTTTGCACAGCACATCCCGGTGCCTGATTGAGCTGTCAGGTGAATGGGGCAAGTGGGTCCTGCATGTCCAGGGACGTGTCCTCCAGCTCTTCCCCAGGCTGTGCTGGCAAGTCTGTCTGCAGTGACAGAGCGTTGTTCGGCCACACGCAACCTCAAGGCATCCTCAAGCTGTACATTAGCATAACTACTAGGAGAGCAATTTTAATTGCCTGATGCCACAACTGTTTAGGATAACTGACAGTGGTGTCGCTGGTCACACTCCTGCATGCTTTTTTGATGCCCGTCTTCCACTGGGAGGGTCCTGGGTCGTGTAAGAGAACACCAAGCAGTACACTCCATTGCAAGCTGGCTGGCTATGATGGTAAGCCAAATGATTTTGATTGAAAACCACACTCTTGGAGTGGAAAAGAAAGGAATATGAAATACTTGTTATTTTTACATTTGAGCCATACATGCAGAAGGCTTAGCAGAAAGGCGAGCCCATGTTCCAGGTCAAAAGCTTGTTACCAAGTTATCTCTGGTCAATGAGGAGTTAAAAGCTTTCTGCAATGCTTCTTGCAGGTTTAAATGGGATGCTGCCAAGACAAAACAGCTCCTAGGTTCTCAGTGCTGTTGCTAGCATCTGAGTTTATTAAACATGAGTTTTAAAACTGTGAGGAACCTGTCACCATTTCCTTTTTGCACTTCACTCTTCTTGGAAAGAGAGAGGAGACAGGCTTGTTTCTTACAGCCTGACTGCTTAGTGTTTTATAGCGTTGGTCTCCCTTTCTGATTTTCCAGCACCGACTGTGTTTAGGTTTCCAGCACTGTGATGTTTAAAATTAAACCACACTGTTTTCCCTGAAACAATACTGGGTTTTGTAACTTTCTTTTTAAACAAATCTGAAATGGATTTGGCACAGATGCTTTGCCAGCCTTCTTCTAAACTAACCCTGAGATGGGAGCATAAGGGTATGCCTGTGAGAGGCAACACGAAAGCATCTGGAAATGGTGGGGCTTTTCTTCTCCTCCTGCTGCCTTTTGTGCCTGAGCCCATCCCATCTCCAAGCTCTCCAAAGCAGTGGAAGAGGAAGGAATACATTGTGGATTTTAAATGGTGTGAGCCTGGCTTCACCCAGCAAGACTATGCATTGGCACTTTGCAGCGTTCAGCGATGACCATGTGCTTTGTGCACAGCTGCTTTCCACTCTGCTCCAGGGAAGCCACACTGCCCCAGGGAGCAGACGTGGAGGGGGGAAAAACAGGATCTGAATCTCCTTTGCCTCCGTGTGGGCAACACAAGGCGGGGGCTCAGCTGGCAGCCCCGCACCCTGCCGTGCCGGTTTTTCTCCTCCACCTCTTGTTCTCTCTCAGCGGGCCGTGATGGGGAACAGGCTTCCAGGGCTGGGCAGAGCCACACAGCAATCATGAAAGAGGTTGTTTTGGCTCCTGCTTCTTTCCAGGGGCAGAGGGACTCTTGCAAGCACTGCTCCCAGCACTGCTGCAGCCATGAGGAGTGGCTGCTGGCTCTGCTGCAGGGCTGGTCACAGCATAAATCCTGCTCTGACCTCTGCACGTAGACATGTGGCTGGGGCAAAGCAGTCAGGCTGGGGCTGGCTTTCATTGTGTCCATGAATCATAGGATCCCAGGTTAGAAGGGAGCTCAAGGATCATCTGGTCCTACCTTTCAAAGAGGAAAAGGAAGGCAGGCAGGTTTTTGTATTGGTATTGTTCAGTCCAGACACAGCTCACAGTGATTCATGCAGCACAGAGCTTTGAATGTCAAACCCTAAAAAGGCATTAAAACCCCATTGCATCTCTCCCCACATTAACAATCATCTTTATCACTGCTAATGAATATGTCCCATTCTTCCACACTCTGGTTTTCCCCCAGGAGCATTAATCCAATGGCTGGATGCTCTTTCCCTTCTTGGCTTAAACTGGGGCAGATCCTGTTGGTTTCTTTGGTTTTGGTGCATGAGACTCGGGTCATGTGAGAGGCTCACATGTGGTGAGCGAGGCCCCATCACGCGGTAGAGCCGATGTCATGAGTTCGGGCTGTGGGAGGGGGACACCCGTGTGTTGCCGGGGGTAGAGTGGGATGTCCCACATGAGGTGTGCAAAGCATTGACCTCCTTGTGTTGTCCTTCCAGTGACATCCCCATGCAAGATCCTCAAGTGCAACTCTGAGTTCTGGGCGGCCACGTCAGGCTCCCACCACGTGGGCACGGAGGAGGCGCCAGAGTTCTGCACGGCGCTGCGAGCCTACGCACACTGCACCCGCCGCACCGCCCGCACCTGCAGGGGGGACCTGGCCTACCACTCTGCTGTGCATGGCATAGAGGATCTCATGGTGCAGCACAACTGCTCCAAGGATGGACCCACCTCGCAGCCCCGGCTCCGGACATTGCCCCCTGGGGATAGCCAGGAGCGCTCTGACAGCCCTGAGATCTGCCACTATGAGAAGAGCTTTCACAGACACTCGGCTGCCCCCAACTATACCCACTGTGGGCTCTTCGGGGACCCTCACCTTAGGACTTTCACAGACACTTTCCAAACCTGCAAGGTGCAAGGGGCTTGGCCGCTCATAGACAATAACTACCTGAATGTCCAGGTCACCAACACGCCGGTGCTGCCTGGCTCCGCGGCCACCGCTACCAGCAAGGTGAGCCTCAGGCACGTCCCTGTGAGCAGAGATGGGCATGGGGTGTGCTTCTCAACAGCCTTTCTTGCCACCATCTCTTTTCTCTACCATTTGCACTTGGGAAGGGTGAGACCGGGTGGGATTTCCTCTGAATTTGAACATTTGGCCCTAAATATCAGGTGCCTATCCTGCCTTTAATGGCCTCTGGTTTCTTCTGAGCACATCCAGCCCCATCATGGTTAGCAGGCTGAGATACTGCAGCTCAGAGGGCTGTCATGGCCACCCAATGTCCAAGCAAACCTAGGACTATCCTCCATGGAGATGTCAGCTTGCAGGGAGAAGCCTGGAGGGAGCCAAGTTCCTTACACAGCCTTCCCTCTGCCCAGGCTCGTAATTGTCTTTGTGGTGTGCAGCCAAGTCCAGGTATTTTGTGGGGCACAGTCTGTTCTGGAGGTGCTTTGACAGCCTAAATAAACATCCTGAAGGTACAAGGCAAACAGAAAGCACAGGTGAAAACGTGCTGCTGTGATACAGCAGAATGTGTGTGGCACGGCCTCAGCTTAAGGAGAGGCCTGGAGCTGATGAACTGTCACATTGCTCCATGGTGCACAAGCTCTAAAGCTAAAAGGCCACTTCTTGTGCCAAAAAAGGAGTCTCAGCAGAAGGCATCCTCTTGCTTTTGGAAGATGTCCTGTCCCACCATGTCTGGGAGTTCTTTTTTCTCCCTCCATGTGCGGAGAAGTACATGAAGGACAGGGGCTGCTTCTCAGCTCTGGATGTGACCTTTTTAGCCTAAGCTGGTTTTGAGTTGTCCCTTACAAACCTCCTTAAAGATACTTAATGATACTCTTAACTCCTTACCTACCAAAAGACATCAAAACTTACTGAAGCTTGCAAGGAAGTTTGGCTTGAGGAGAATGGCCCTTGACCCAAGGAATGTGCAGTTCCTAGGCTGGATCCCAGGATCACCATCTTAATTGAGCCTTTTCACCCGTTATCTGCCTCACGGGCTTGTGGTGAGGAGGGATTAGTCATGAGATCTGCAGCATGAGCTGTGAAAGCGTTGCTGGGTCACTGCTAGAGGAACATGTGCTGTTGGAAAGGATGGAAGCTTCTCGGGCCATAGGACCTTTTGTGTTGTTGCATGATGTTCTCTGGTCTACCTTTCTTCCTGCTGCCAGAGGCAGGACTGAAACCTGAGGAGGTCACTGCTGGAGCTGTCTCTCCTCCAGCTCTGCCCTGCTTTGGACAGGCCTCAGTCTGCCCCTTCATGGGGCACATGAAAGGAGGGCCCCCTACTGCTTCCCTCATGGAGAGAGGTGAAAGAGGGAGAGCAAGTCTGCAAGAGGTAAAAGAGAAAGCATGGTTTGCCTGGGAAGAAGAGCGAGTTGCTTTTCCTCCCAAGCAAGCTCTACTCTTCTTTCTCCTCATCAAGCCTTCACCCCAAAGCAGGGCCAGCAAAGGAAGAACAAGAACTGGGAATTCCTTCCTCCAGCAAGGCACCTGTGTTTGAGCCCAGCAGGGTGGGGAGGCCCACTGGGCTCAGTCTGTGTCCATAGAAGTATCTGCCCACTCCAACACGTATGTGTTTGCATGGCTGAGGTGGATCACGGCGTGTTCTGGGGCCCAGAGAAGACCGTTGTTTTGGAGGTGGCCAGGGAAAGGAAGGGGTCCAGCCCTTGGGATCTAAATGCCATGGGAGTCAGAGGAGAAGCTCCACCACCTACCTCTAAGAGTCAGGGCTCATCTCCTCCGCCATCTGTGAGGCCTAGAGGCAAGGCAGCGCTGCATGCAGGGGCATGTCGCCACAGGCTGTGAATAGTGATACTGCACATGAGAGCTCCTGGGTTGGGGCTGGAGATAACAGTGCAGATCCAGGTGGTACATTCCGTCCAGACTCTGGCTCCTGATTCCATACATGGTGACCTCATGCTTGTGCTGAAGAAGGATGGCCGTGTCTAGGTACCTAAAAATTGGGACAACTTAGGATGAAGTACCTACCCATGAGCTGAAGGCCATGCTCCTGGCTGGGCTAAGCAGACAGCTTCTCCACCTCCCATGCTGCTGCTGCATGCTCTCAGGAGGTCATTGCTGATTGTAACCCTGTTTCTCTCTTTTCCCCCCTCACAGCTCACCATCATCTTCAAGAGCTTCCAGGAGTGTGTGGACCAGAAAGTATACCAGGCAGAGATGGACGAGCTGCCCGCTGCCTTTGCCGATGGCTCCAAGAACGGTGGGGATAAGCACGGAGCCAACAGCCTGAAGATCACCGAGAAGGTGTCAGGCCAACACATAGAGATCCAGGCAAAGTACATTGGCACCACCATCGTGGTGAGGCAGGTGGGCCGGTACCTCACCTTCGCTGTGCGCATGCCAGAGGAGGTGGTCAATGCTGTGGAGGACCGGGACAGTCAGGGCCTCTACCTGTGCCTCCGTGGGTGTCCGCTCAACCAACAAATTGACTTCCAGACCATCCGCTCGGCTCAGGCCACAGAGGGCCGTGCTCGGAGGAAGGGGCCCAGCCTGCAGGCCCCCCCTGAGGCCTTCACATATGAAACAGCCACAGCCAAGTGCAGGGAAAAGCTGCCTGTGGAGGACCTCTACTTCCAGTCTTGCGTCTTTGACCTCCTCACCACAGGGGACGTCAACTTCATGCTGGCTGCTTACTATGCCTTTGAGGATGTGAAGATGCTTCACTCCAACAAAGACAAGCTGCACCTCTATGAAAGGACACGGGACTTGGCCCCTGGCAACATGGCTCCTTCAGGGATGTCCTCTGCCCTCTGGGTAGCACTGCTGTGTTTGTGTCAGTGCTGGTTGTGCTTGTTATAGAGGCTTGTTCCTTCTCACCATGGAGAGTGGGGAAAGGGGAGCAGGAGGGAACCAGGGATGAGATGGCAGTGCTGGACAGTAGGAGGCTGGATGTCAGAGCTGAATAGGTTGCTCTCAAACCTCTCTCTGGCACCAGGTCTTGAACCTTCCCAGCTCTTGCCTGGGAGGAATGTGCTGCCAGTGGGATCAGTCAGGAGCTTTTGCTGGACTCTATCTTGTCTGGATGTTCCTCACATGCACCTCCCCTTGTCTTCCTCCCAGTAGTGTGGGTTCCAAGGAGCCCCCACCTCCTTGTAGCACTTCCCCAGGTCCCAAAAATGCACGCGGTGACTGTGACATTGGCGTGTATGAGCATGGCTTTGTCTTCAAAGAGCAGAGCCTGCAAGGAGGGTGCAGAGGAGCCAGATGGGGCCAAGCCTGGCCATCACAACAGGGCTGGTGTTTCTGTTCGTTGGGGCCACGCTCTGCTTTTCGGGCATGTCTGTCTCTGCCTGTAGCCCCACTGCTGCAGATAGTGGTGCAAGGGGCTGAAATAATGGTGAATGGTGGTCCCACACTTGCCTGGCCACCAGTGCCAGGCATCTTTTGGGTGGAAGAAGGACATGTTCCTCAGGCTTTGGCTTGCGTTTGCTGTGGTTCAAAGGGCATCTCCCATTTTAGCCAGTTCACTTGGCTGATTCACTCAGTAGTTTTACTCCTGGCTCCCTTGTCTCTGCCTGGATCCACCGAGGACTCTTGATGGCAATGGGAGAAACCTGGCCAGTATTCAAGTGGTTTCTGCAACTTCTACCCAGCATCGGATAAGTTCCTCGCACCATTTGCTCTCCAGTCCCCTAAAGCTTGGCTGCTCAGTGGGGGACCCATTCTCCTGCCCGTGGCTCAGCCAGGCCCTGGGATGGAGCAAGAGCATCACGCTCTCTTTGTTTGCTGCTAGGTCTCTGCTTCGCTTCTCATCCTGGGGCCGTGACTTGCAACCCCATTGCAGACCAGTTGCACCTTAAGCCCTTCAGGGCTTGAATTGGAAATGGGGCAATCTTAGAAATCCAGCCAGGAGATGGGATGCAGCAGAGGACCCCCTCACCCCCCCCACCCCAAACTGCCTCCAAATGCCTGTTCCCTGCCTTGAAACCATTGATAATCCCCTTCCCTTACCACATAGTGCTACCGATTTCCTCTTCATGTTCCTCTGTGGTTCACCTGTCGCTCACTGAACAAACAGCAAGACCACCTTTGGTCTGTGCCTTGGAGACCTCCTGATGGGTTTCCCTTCCTTTCCTCAGGGGGGAAGCTCACAGAAACAAGCCACAGAACACTCTTGGGGGCACCTCCTGCTCCCAAGGGAGGTCTCTAGGCATGATGAGACAAGTTAGCACCAAAAGAGGTGGGAACAGGCTATGTTTGGCAGTCTGAACTGCTGCCAAGAGGCAGCCTGGTGTAAATACTCAACGTGACTATTCATTGTGTCCTAACAGCTCTAGAGCTCCATTTGTAAAGCAGCAGAGAAATGCAAAATTGTGTCAATGGATGTAATTTATATTGTCTCTTTAATATATAGAGCCCTGGCATTGATCTCGTGTGACTGTACAGATGAAGAGATGTAATTGGTTTTTAAATGTTTAAGGAAAGAAAAGAAACAAAAAAAAAAAGATGTGTTTACTACTTTGCTCCTTGCTTTGTTTGCTGGTGCCCCAGGTGTTCTTTTTAGGGAGACTTTGAAATAAGGATATCACAGTTTGGAGGCTCTGAGAGCAGCAACCACTGGACCGCGGCACAGGACAGTTTAGTTTCCCAATGCACTGACTGCTCAGCCAGGCTCATTTGGACTTCTTGTTTCTTTTGTTCAAGAAAGAACCAAGTTTTTGCCTTCCCTAGAGATTTAAAATGCAAGATTTGGCATTGGGTAAGAGGACACATTGGTTTCTTGCTGTGTTACCCCATAGGTAACAGCAGATGTACAAATGCCTCCTGAAAGCAGTCTTAGCTGCCCAAGCCACAGCTTGGCAACAAGTCAGTGCTTCCCTGCAAACCTCCCTTTCCTATAATGCAATCACCCTGCATTGCAATTGTGATGCACTGTGGCTCTGGGCTAATTTCCAGCCAATCCCGGCCTACTTGATCATGGGATGGCTCAGTCCCACTGTCCAGGTGAGCGTTCCAGTGGTGGCCAGCTGTCATACAGTGCATGGGGTATCCCTATTTTAGAAGCAAACAGTGAAGCACTTTATTTTGGTTGTGTTTGACCCAATTCTGATTAAAGGTGAAGTGTGGCCAAGAAAGACCCGATACTTGGAAACAAAGCAGATATAGGAAAAGGGGGGTGAGGGTGTGTTAGGAGAAGCCCCCTCACCTCCTCCCTGAGCTGAGACCCACGGGAGTGTCACCGCGTGTATATACTGTAAATTATTTATTGAGAGAAACACAAGTAAAGTTTGAGGTTTTTTGACAATAAATGAGTGGGTCTTGGTTTGTTACCTTCTCCTCTTGTTTGGTGCGTTGGATGGTGCTGTTGACCACGCAGGATGCAGTTGCCGGCCTGTTCCCGCATTCACTCTAAAGCACCTTGCTTCCATCTGCAACCCAAGATGGAAGATTCTGTCCTGAATTCTCCGAGAGTTGCACTTTATTTACCTACAGCCAAACGAGAAAAATAAAAAGAGGTTGGGGGGAGAAAATGCAGGTGTTAAACTACTGGAGCCTCGCTGGGGAGGACGATGTGCAGTGATGGTACCAGGTGGGCTCTGTCACCATTCCTTCCGCTGCTCACCCCCGTGATTGCCCCTTTCTGTGATCTCTGCCTTTCCTCGGGCCCGGCTTCAGCCCCAGCTGGGTCTGTTACTGCCCTCTAATGAGCGAGAACCAAAACTGCACTTCTTTTTAGTTACGTGTTCCTGGTTTGCAAAGCTGAAGGACTCCTTGCCCCGGAGCTGGGGCCAGAGATGCTGAGGCCATGAGGGACACCGCCACCAAAACACACATTATTTGGGTAAATGCATGCAAAGACACCCAGCACCAGAAATTTAAAAGCCGAGCTCCCCGTCCTTCAGAGCCCTGAAGAACTGGGAGCTTCTAGAGCCAAACCCACTCCCTCTGCCAACACTTGCACCAGCTCACGGAGCCTAAGAAGTCAGCCATATAGAAAGTCATATAAAAGCTTCATAGGAACAGAGGGGTTTCCCCTGCTCACTGGTGACGAGGTCACCAATGGAGCCTGCTCATCCACCTCAGCAGGAACACACATCTCCTGTGCACACAAAGTGCTGAGGAAAGAGTACAGTGATGCCTGGGTGAGCAAGCTCACGGGGGGCCCAACATCTCAGCACCCTGCTTCTCTCTCTAGGCACAGTGTACTGTGGAGGACGTCTGGAAACAGCCATTGCTGCGGAGCCACAGCCGCACAAAATGGCGCCCAGCCTGCGACCAGCGCTTCCTGGAACGCCTCGAAGTGAGGGTCGGGGCTCCTCAGCCGCCCCGCCCCCCACGGTGTGCACGTGCCAGGGCCAGGTCCTGCGCCCTGCAACCAACGGGCAATGGAGCCCCTCATGGGATGTGCCGGTGGCGGGAACCAGGCTCCAACCTGCGCAACAGGGACAGAGCCCGGCCCTGCCCAGCACCAGCGACGGCCGCAGTGCTGCTGCACCCTGTGCTTGCGGAGGAGACGCTGCTGTGGGACCGACCGGACCTGCCTGGCCCGGAGAAGGGGAAGTGGCACCACGCCAGGGGGTTATTTCTCCACCGGCTGTGGCCAGGCCTCAGGTTCAGCTGTTTGCAGCATGGTGCTGGGCTAAGCTCTGTGGGACAGAGCCCATACCCTCACCTGCCTCTGCTCCGGCTCCTCAGATCCTGCTTTTGCAGCTTTCCTGTGGGTACCCTGGGGATGAAACGAGCCAGCTCTGAATGAAACACAGACCTGCCTCCTCAGGTACTCACCTGCAGTGCTGCGGGCAGGGACACCCAGACCAGCTCCTGTCGTCCCTCTGTCTCCATCCAGCCGAGCCCCACTCCCCGCTGCAGCCCCACAGCAACAGCCAGGACCTCTTTCCATTAGGAAATCCCCACCTTTTAGACACCCAGACATGGTGTCTAAATTGTGCATCAGCACTGGGATAAGGACACCATGTATGGAGTCAAGAGCCAGAGGCTGGACTGAGCACATCTGTGCTGTTACCTCCAGCCCCAGTGCAGGAGCACTGCTCTAGCTGGCACTGGGTGCGGTATCACTACTCACAGCCTGTGGTGACATGCCCACACATGCAGCAGTGCCTCCCGGGCCTGGCAGATGGCAGAGAGGATGAGCCCTGACTCTCTTAGAGGTGATGGAGCCTCTCCTCTGGCTCCCAGCCTTGGTGGGACAAGACATATGTCAAAAGCAAGAGGATACACTCTGGGGCTACGGGAGGCTCCTGGATAACCCCCAGGTGTGCCACAACCCCAAAGGAGTCATTTAGAACAACCATCCTCACCCTGAGACCAACCACCAAGTTCGTGATACCCTTGGACTGAATTAGAGTGAACACCAACCTACCAGTTCTGTGATTTATTAATACAAAACACAAGGCATGTCAGACATGGTAGCTCAATAGTGATTATTTTAACCGGATTAGGAAGTCCTGTGCCACATGTTTTCACTTAGATCTGACCAATATTCAATAAGAAGAGAAAGAGGAGAACAGAGACAGAGGAAGGGAAGAGATACCACCACTCATGGATGTAGCAACATCTTGCTGGTCCTCTTCACCCAGGGTATTGCCAGTGGTGGGAGCTCCCCTCTGACCTGGTTCCCCTGTCTTTCAGCGTTTACATTCTTTGGGGTATTATTGATAACTTGCATTTGAAACCTGCTTTACTCTGATAATGATGCATGTGTTTTAGTGAACACATACACAGTTCCACAGCTGGGGTTCTGCGAATGTCCTCCGGGTGGTTGTTGTCCTCATACCACGGTGTCTGCTATCTGACCCCATCTTTCATGCATACTCAGTCAGCTTGAGTTACCCAATAAAAATCCATTATACATCCTGTGGAAGCTTATGAGCCTTGAACAAGGGGGCCATAGTGAACTTGTCCACACAGTACCTAAAGTGAACAGCCTTGTTCTTTGCTTCATTTGTGGTTATTCTTGCACCGTTTTCCATCATAGAAAGAAAGTAGTGTCTGAGATAAGCTCATTTTCCTGTTCTGACTTTCACACCTGCTTCCTACAGACTGTAAGTGGTGTTTCAGACACACTCAGTTTCCTGACTCTCACATTATGGTATATAAGCAGTGATTGAGACAAGCTCAATTTCCTGACACTCAGAGGGGGGGCTGTGAGGTGGGTCCATCCTTGGAGCAGTTGTGCTGCACCATGAGATCCTCTATGCCATGCACAGCAGAGTGGTAGGCCAGGTCCCCCCTGCAGGTGCGGGCAGTGCGGCGGGTGCAGGTGCGTAGGCTCGCAGCGCCGTGCAGAACTCTGGCGCCTCCTCCGTGCCCACGTGGTGGGAGCCTGACGTGGCCGCCCAGAACTCAGAGTTGCACTTGAGGATCTTGCATGGGGATGTCACTGGAAGGACAACACAAGGAGGTCAATGCTTTGCACACCTCATGTGGGACATCCCACTCTACCCCCGGCAACACACGGGTGTCCCCCTCCCACAGCCCGAACTCATGACATCGGCTCTACCGCACGATGGGGCCTCGCTCATCAGATGTGAGCCTCTCACATGACCCGAGTCTCATGCACCAAAACCAAAGAAACCAACAGGATCTGCCCCAATTTAAGCCAAGAAGGGAAAGAGCATCCAGCCATTGGATTAATGCTCCTGGGGGAAAACCAGAGTGTGGAAGAATGGGACATATTCATTAGCAGTGATAAAGATGATCGTTAATGTGGGGAGAGATGCAGTGGGGTTTTAATGCCTTTTTAGGGTTTGACATTCAAAGCTCTGTGCTGTAAGAATTACTGTGAACTGTGAGTAGACAGAGCTCTACCAAACAAAAATCTAGGTAAGCTAAACAGCTTGCACTTTCAGGCTCCCACTGGAAGATATTTGCCTAGCCCTGTACCAGGGAGGCCAGTATCCTGCAGAACCCACCACCCAATGGAACAGGCAATGCCAATGTGGAACACACGCTCCTGCTCTCCCAAGGTCACCCCTGTCACTGGGGCACTGCACCGCAGTGGATACCAGGATGTGCTGTTGGCCTGGGACATTTCCCAGTGGGCATTCCTGTGGCCACCAAACGCACACCAGTGGCCTGGGGGATCACACAACCCGCATCCCAGTGCTCAGCCTTCATTGGAACATTATAATACACATTGTTAAAGTAAGTGTTCAACCATATGCACAGATCTTACTCGGCCTTTTGAGGGCCCATTATTTCCCTTCTGAATGTGTGAGTTTACTTGGATTTCATTTACCCAAATCATGCTCTTTCAAAAAAAAGGCACAAAATCAACAATTCCTCTGTTCTGCAAATTCTACAGCAAAGAGAATTACTTGGAATTCATTTCATAAGCAAAAGCCAATTGTCCTGAGACTCTTGGGCACATGCCACCAGACCTGTTAACTTGAAAGCTTTCACTGCTAAGAGATGTTGTTTAATATCCTCTTGGTTACTAACAGGTGGAAAGTATTTCGTCACTCATATGGGCAATACTACTTGGGCAGCCTCCAGTGACTCCATTCACATGGGGCTCTCAGGAGGGGTTGAAGCTTCCTTGGGGTTGGGAACCCCCGAATTCCCCAAAAGCACAGGGGAAAAAGGACAAAGGATTTGCCAGGGGAAAAAAAATATCCCCCTTTTTCCTATCTCCCCACCCAATACGCCTTCAACAGCAGCCCCTGACACGCTCCCAGCCCTGCGCATGGGGAGCACCCTCTCCGCCTGCGCCCCGCTCCCGCGGGCTCCGGATCACCTCGTTCTGCCAGTTCTTTGCACCTTATTTGACTGCTGACGGGAGAATCAAACAAAGCAGCAGCCACATCTCCTATCAAGTTCTTTCTTGCACCGTAAATCTCACAGCCCTAACGCTTTGCAACTCAACCGTTCCGAAAAGGGCGTTAAGCAACACAGAGGGGAGCAGCTCCAGAGCTTCTAGAACACACACATGGGGTTCAGCTTACAGCTGCCGGGAAGCCTCCTGGGAGAAATGGGGTGCGGAGGGACACCACAGTGCTAAAGACAGAGCTGGAAAGGTTGTGCTAAAGATGCTACACCTATGGTTATGCAAAAGAAAGGCAGAAGTGACTTGAGAATTAATATATTACATTTAAGAAGGGAAAGTTTTACTGTATGGGGGGGTTTATGGGGGTGTCCCTCCCGTCTTCCAAAGCACCAGGCACACCCGGGAAGGGGAGCACAACGGAACCTGCCCGCCGCTGTCACAACAACCCTCCGCCGGGGGCTGCTTTCCCACCATCTCCTTCCTTGTGGGATGAGACAAAGAAGATGAGGTCAAGGAAGAGCCCGCACCGCAACTGCTTCGGAAAAACGGGGATTGGGGGGGGGGGGCACACACCGAACCTGAGCCCCGCTCGCTCCTTTGAAACATGTGGCAAAGCGCTGCAGAGAGGGAAGAGAAAGAGGCCCCGAGACAGGGACCGGAGGCGGCTGTCCAAGGGCTGCAGAAACACGGGGGAAACGCTGCGAAATAAAGAGGCTGTTCCTTACCTGAAGGGAAGATGCAGAGAAAGACAAGGAGGATTTGGAAAAGTCCCAGGGCTGTGGATCCTGCCCCTCTCCCCATACCCATCCATCCAGCTCGAGCTTTAACCACTATCCTCTCCCTGGAAGAAGAGTTGGAAAACAAACAAAAACAAGAGAAATGAGAAAAATAAATAAATAAGTAAATAAATAAATATATAAATAGAATCAATAAAAGAAAAAAAAAAGAATTGGGAGATGCAGGAACCGGCGGCCCCAGCAGACTTTTACTCCTCCTCCTCTCTTTCCCCTCCCATCGCAAACCAGCCCACACCATCCATCATCCCGCTGCCTTCCAATGTCCGCATTCTCTCGCTGTGCCTCCTCCTCCCGCCGGAGCCTCCCGGGAAGGGGCGGAGGAACGCGCTGCTCTGGGCGGGAGCGGGGAGGGCTGATCCCGGCTACGCAGTGCCCCGTCGAGTGCGGCCAGGGGTCTGTTGGTGCTGCAGCTGCTTGTACCGCAGCTCGAGGGGGAATTGAGAGGGGCTTCATCCACCCCACGGGGGTCTCAGCGCCCAGCGCGCCCTCCCCGCCTCTGCCCTGGGGTGACCGGAGCGTTTTGGGTGCCCCCTGGATGAAGGAACTTGGGGCAAAACGTCACTCGTAGAGTGAGGGGAAACTGAGGCAGGGAGACGGCAGGCAGCGGGATTGCGGGAGCGATGCCGCATCCCCTGTGACCCTGACCCCCGGCACAGGGAGCTTTGCTGCTGCTCTGGGCTCCCCATGCGAGAGCTCGGGCTGCGCAGGGACACGGCGGCCACCGGCTGGGAACAGCCACAGCTGCAGAGGCGCGGTCACACAAAATGGCGCTCGGCCCAGGACCGGCGCCCTCTGGCGCGGCCTAAAGCGAGGGTCGGGGCTCTTCGGCCGCCCCGTCCCCCCACAGGAGTGTGTAGCAGGGCTGGGTCCTACTCCCTGCGCCCTAGAACTGGTGGGCAATGGTTTCAACCTGCGCAACAGGGACAGAGCCCGGCCCTGCCCAGCACCAGGGACGGCCGCAGTGCTGCTGCACCCTGTGCTTGTGGAGGAGACGCTGCTGTGGGACCGACCGGACCTGCCTGGCCCGGAGAAGGGGAAGTGGCACCACGCCAAGGGGTTATTTCTCCACCGGCTGTAGCTGGGCCTCGGGTTCAGCTGCTTGCAGCATGGTGCTGGGCTAAGCTCTGTGGGACAGAGCCCAAACCCTCACCTGCCTCTGCTCCGGCTCCTCAGATCCTGCTTTTGCAGCTTTCCTGTGGGTACCCTGGGGGTGAAACGAGCCAGCTCTGAATGAAACACAGCACCTGCCTCCTCAGGTACTCACCTGCAGTGCTGCGGGCAGGGACACCCAGACCAGCTCCTGTCGTCCCTCTGCCTCCATCCAGCCGAGCCCCTCTCCCCGCTGCAGACCCACAGCAACAGCCAGGACCTCCTTCCGTTCAGAATCCCATTTTTCAGGGCCATAGATCTCAGTGACATTTCACTGATGGCTGCAACTTAGCTCAGCTGCAGAGACTAGGAAGGGCTGGACTCAGTGGCTGCAGGTGTGAAAAGTGCTTTTTACAATGAGCTCTTGTAACAGGGGCAAAATGGCTTCAAGCTTTGCACCGCATCTTGCCATGTGGGCATCACCGGGGATGGGTGGAAAGACTGAACCAAAGCAGCGCACAGAATGCCATTGCATCCTGCCTGGATAGAGGCACATCCTCCCGGGGCTGGGGACAGAGCGAAGAGCTCCATGCCTCCAGCAGGAGCAGCACTTCTGGAGGAAGGGGAATTCTCCCCGGACAGGGTCAAAAAGATCTTTACGTACCTGCAGAGATCCAGGAAAGACAGAGGTTGGTTAAATACATAAACATCGGTGCCATCCCAGCGAAATCCTGGTGGAAATGGGTGAGGAAACGCATGGCTTCTCCTGCTCATGTGGAAATTCCCATCTGAAGGGGTTTCCAAATCTCTGTCACCGCGGACTGGGAAGCTATTTAGAACAGGCAAGAACAACATGCTTACTCCTGCACTGTGGAAACACCTCGCGGCATGCCCAGGGCTGCAGTTAAGGGTCCTGGGATCCCAAAACAGCCCCAGACACACCATGGACAACCCCCAGACTCACCAGGGCACACTAGGAAAACTACAGACCCCCCTAGGCTCACCAGGGACACACCAGGAACACCATGGACCCTGCACACTCACCAGGAACACCACAGACCCTCTCCAGACTCACCAGGGGCACACCAGGAACACCACAGACCCCCCCCCAGACTCACCACACTGGCGCTGTTCTGAAAATCTCCGTAACACTTTTTAATATACAAGAATCAAAAGTACAGCAGTTTTACAATGTAGGAAAATTTCATACATACTATATAAACAACATATTTACATCAGAAATCACTAGGACAGTGGCATGGGTTTTTTTTTCTTCTTTCCCACAAATATAAATTAATATTAATTACTGTTTTTAGTCAACAAGTTTCAAAGTCCGTGTTTTTTTACAATAAGAGTCCTTCTCTCCCAGGAGGGGAGGCAGAGGTTGGGAGGAAATGGGTGAAAGCACAACAGTATTTTTGTGGGGGTCACTTGAGCCGTTCACGGAAGGACTGTCAGAACACTGCAGTATCCATCCTGTTGGGCACCACATCGCCTGCGCCATGCAGGATGCACCCTGCAGGACTTCCATCGTGTGAAGGACACAAACTTTACACCATTTCCAAAGGGGTCCGCCTGAAAAACTCTTGGTTTATAAAATAAAACCCCAGCAAATTGCTACTTTTTCCTGCCAAGAGGGAATCTCGCAGCTGGTTCACAAGGAAAAGCTGTACCAGATGTTGTTACAAACATCGCAGTGAAGTTTATGGCTCTGGACCTGTCCCCTCTGATCCCACTCGCATCCAAGTGACTGCGCCTGGTTATGGTCCCTGTACTAAGAGGACATAAAATGCATGTGTGTGCTCAGAGAGGACTTTCTCCCAGATCTAGTTCTCCATCTTCACTGGAACAGGTTGCCCAAAGAAGCTGTGGCTGCCCCAAACTGTGAGACTGCAGTATCAGGCTAAGGTGACAGCAGGGACAGTTCTTTGGTGGATATGGGAAAAAGCTTTTGCTGTTGCACAAGAAGAAAACCCCAACCAACCTCATACCCTGAACCCGTGCTGAGCAAGAAAACCCCCACATCTGCACACAGAAAATGCCTCTTGCTGGGGTTCAAAGTTCTCTTCCACCAACTGTAACACTGGTCTGGCCAGCACTGCCTTCTGCTACAAGTGTATGGCACAAGCTTCCCATCACGATAGCACCGCTTGGTGAACAAGAGCAACTCTCTTTGCTCCTCTGAGGTTTCCTCCATTTTCACATGAAAAGCTAATACCTCTGAAAAGAAAGGACCTCTTTGTTGAATACAGCAAGCGCCTGCAATCACAGCTTAGTGAGGAACGCCGCTATCGCACACCTCCCTTCGCTCCACAGCTCTAAAGGGGAACTGCAGAAGCCTTCAGCTCCTCCTGCACGGCTCAACACTAGTGTAACACTACTATTGCAGGGCAGTGCAGTGCCCCTAAGCAAGCAAAGCTGCCCTGCAGTTGGTGGAAATCTTGCAAAGTAAAAACATCAAAAATGGCAGTAAAACACTTCCCGTGTGTCCCGTTAAACCAGCGGGCTCGGGAAGGAGCGACAGCAGCAGGTTTCGAGGGATGCACGGCATGGAATGGGACATGGGAGTATTAGTGTTTGTTTGTGTGTGCCTGCCAAGGCACTGCCTGGAGTCAGGAAGCCAGCCCTGAACACCATCTTCCCTCATTCTTTGGGGGAAAGGACATCACAGCTTATTAGGGTCAGATACTGGCACCTCAATAGGAGGTGAAGCTTCTGTCCCCCAGCAAAGAGTCTGGAACAGCCTGGTCTTTAACACTGAGCTCCAGGAGATGATGCACCATGCTCTGGGCAGCCCGGCTGCTGGGGGAGCTTTGTGACTGGTCTCCAGGATGTGACTCTATGGAAAAAGGCCTAGGACCTGAAAAATCACCACCACCACCACAGCTACTTCTGGCCAGCAGCCTGTGCACAGCCCCTCTCATCGCACCCGTCTCCAGGCTGAACAGGGTTCTGCACCAGACACTGAGGCTCCAGTACTTGGAGGAGTGTTTGCTCTAAGTGCACTGAGCTGGGCTGCAGACTCCTGTCTCCCTCTGCCATGCTGGGCTCTTAAGACATTTGCTCCAAGGATATTTTAAGGACCCCAGTCCTGAATTCCTCATTCTCTCCCTGCTCACTTACGTGCTGGCTTTCAGTGCAGCAGTTACTGCTGACGGCAGCCCACTGCACTTCTACTGCACTCTGCTCCACCATCCTTCATCCTTCAGTTGCAGCAGAGGTTTCTGATCACTCATGAAGTGCAGAGAAATGACTTGCCCAAAGTCTAGAACACTTCAGTGGCAAGGAGATGAGGAGCCTCAGGATGCCCAGAGCCGTCTTTTGACCTTGCAGCACCTGGACCATCCCAGCTGCCCATGTCAGAAGAGAAGAGGAGTTTTGTTACGAATTCCTGAGCTCTGCCCAGTGGGAAATACTGTTCTCACCTGATCTACTTCCTACTAGTTACAAGTAATAAGCCTTTGCTAAGAAAGTCTTTTTTTTTCCCCACATATCCCAAAGCCTCTGGAGTGAAGATTTGCCAGTTGTAGCCCTAGGGATGGCAGGTCAGCCCCGCCTCTTTAGTTGCAGGAGACACAACAGCAGTAAAGCAGAGCCAGTTTCTTGAAATGGATAGGGACATGGAAATGGTAATATGGCCAGAAAAGCTACAGATTGTCACCAGCATGGCTCCAACTCCTTTGGAGTCACTGCAGGGACAGCACATCCCTCTTTCAACCAAGCTTGGCTGCTGAGGGACTCTTCTGTCCCTCTTTGAATATACCCTCCCCACTGCCCTATGCTGGTTTCACACAGCGCCCATCCCAGCCAGTTTCTCCCCAGTCCCAAAGCAGCATCTGTCAGGTAACACAAGCACAGTCCTTAAGCAGCATTGATCTGCCTTCTTGGGTTGGGAAAACACTGGCTGGGGGAAAATCCCTTGGGTCCATCGGACTGGGGAAAACAAAACCAAACTGAATGAGGCAGCAGAGGCTGGTTCCAACGTTCAACAGTGGAAGAGGGGAAAGGAAACTGAGAGTTAAAACACTGAGAGGGGACAATTCCCTTGGGTCCATTGGACTGGGGAGAACAAAAACAAAACAAGGAATGAGGCAGCAAGGCTGGTTTCAACGTCCAATAACAGAAGAGAAGAAAGGAAATGGGAATTTAAACTGGAACAAAGAATGAAGGGGAAAATGAGGGGAAAAATGAGGGAAAAAATTAGGGGAAAAAAAATCTTCCTCTACCTAATCCCTCAAATTTCCTCCCTGACCAGGAAGATGATAGCAGCATGTTCAAAGTTTCTGGTTGTTGTCTTGGAGAAAGCAGTAGTTGTTGCATCAAACCAAGTATTTCAGATGTCTGCCTTCTCCCTCTCAGTCACTTTATGTTTTCCGAATGTTCCAGTTATAATCTGGATTGGTCTTCTGTTCTAATGACCTATCCAGAGGTGACCTGTGATCCAAAGGTGACTTGGGATCAAGGGGGGATTTCTGAGAGGGGGGTGAGCGAGGGTCCGACACTCCAGCGTGAGGTGGAGGGAGAGGCTGTTTGTAATCTCCCGATTTGTCTGTGTGGAAGGACCGGTAGTGGTCCGAAGGTCCTTGGCCATGGTATCCCATGGGTGGCCTGTGGTCAGACATCCTCCTGAAATCCTGCTGGTGGTAGTTCTGAGGCCTGAACTCATCAGATCGCCGACGCTTGGAATCGTGGTGATGCCTGCAGAAAGAGAACGAGATGGATGGAGAGCGGTTCCCTAAGGAAAGCCTGGCCATCACAGTGCTTCCCTGCACGTTCCTCCCAGCCTTTCCAAGAGGAGAGGGAATAATTACCTGTCGTAATAATCTCGGTGGCCTCGGTGGTCTCGATCACTGTTGTACTGTTCGTATGGCCTCTTGCGGGACAGGTTATTGGGTCTGTAGCTCCCAGAGCTCCGGTGGGGCTCTCCACGAGATCGCCGATCCCCATAGTGGTGGTCCTTGTACCAGTGCTGCTCGTACTGGTGATGCCGCTCCCCGCCCCACATCTGGTTGCTGTTGCCACCGTAGTTGAACTTCCGATCCCTCTGCCATTCCCCTCGGTCTGCAATGAGGAAAGCACCACTAAGTGTCTTCCATGCTCTAGTTTAATGGGCTGAATTCTCAAAGAAATGGTAACCTGACCAGGTCCCAGAAGAATTTGTGTCCGAGAGCAAAGAGCCATTAGGTTACAAGGGATGATTTCTCCTGGCTTGCAGCACTCACCCGTGTTGCTGAAATGTCTCTTGTTTGGATGGCCATAGTTGTCCCGCGGGTGCCCGTGCATCTGCTGCTGGGCGTGAGAAGGGGGCAAATGGATCTTCTGGGAATGAGGGTTGTGAGGCACATGAGACTGGGACATCACAGAGTCGCGGCTGGAGCCTGAAGGCTCTGGGCGGAACGGCTTCTTCATGCTGGACATGTCCTCCTTCTTCTTCTGCTCCTGCAAGGTGGAAGAGAACGTTACAGCTCCACTGCTCCTCCACCAAAGGATTCAGACTATGGGAGCAATGGCCTTGCCTGGCAGGCTCTGGAATGTTCTTCAGAGACCCCATGCTGTGGGCCACCCACCTCTTTGAGCATTTGGAGAACCAGCTGTGCCCAAGAATGGTATAAATGGCAATGGCACAAATGTAATGGAGGACAGGGGCAATGTAGCCCCACATGGCCCCGCTTCTACATCCTGTTTCTAAAGGGCTGTTCACTCTCAAGGTCAACCCAATGTACCACACCACATAATGATTTCTCTTGGTCAGAACAGCCAGAACAAAGTGACCAGTGCTGTCAGGTGACGGGAGAAATGCCACGCAGGAGGTGGGCAA